AGGCGATATCGATTGAGAGCGCTGATGGTGATGATGATGGTGGCGAATTTGGTGGTCAGAATTGGAATCCGCGGCAGTTCCAGAGAGAAGAAGTTTGGACATCTCTTTCTTGAGATGCGCTTGACCTTCCTCCAGCTCTTGTATCTTCCTCAGAAGCTCCTCTACTGGTGGAGTTCCCATAAAAACCAACAACAACGGATCAATATTCAACACTTCCCACTGGCGTAATCTTGAAGATTAAAACAAAAACCAACAACAACAACAACAAAAAGAAAAGTTCAAAGAAACAAACACAGAAATCCAAAAGAAACAATGCTCTGTATTCCAATTCCAAAAACCTTGTACCAGATTCAAAAATTAACTCTCTACAATCCACCTCCGATCTTCCAAATCTCTCCCTTCCTCAAAAACAATCATCAAATCAACAAGCACAACTCCAAATCCATAGCAGAGAGACGAGAGATTCCAGTCTGTACCAAAAGAAAAAGAACATCAATATCGAACTCAACCAATTCTGCTCAACTCCAGAATCAACAAATCTTTACAGAAAAAACTACCAATCCAGTCCAATCCAGTCCAAATCCAATCCAACCCAATCCAATCCAATCCCCGATGTTCTTATTGGTGGCCGAGTCAATCGGTGAGACTGAATTTGATAAAGAACGAAGGGTTTCCTCCAGCTGGGTCAAGAACCTTCTCACCCTCTTTACTTTAGCCTTCCTCCAGACCTCCGCCTTTTTTTTAAAATTATTTATTTATTAATAAATAATTTTTGGTGGTATTTTTATTTTGCTCTCTCTTATTCGTTCAATTTGGGCGGTTTATTTTTCTATCTTATCATTATCATCCAAATCTAAAATATTTAAATATATTTAAAAAAAAAGAAAAAAAAAAGGCGCTGTCGTGGCCAATCACACGCCTCCAATTTTTCACTTTATATTTTTATTACGGCGGGAACTTCTCCGGTCGGAATATCCAAATAAATAAATAAATATATATATATATATATTTAAATGGCCCCTTGAAATGTGGGCGACTTCCACTATTTTGTTTTGACATTTTTTTTTGCTAACTTTATGATAAATTATTTATTTTTAATTTAGTTTGCTTAAATTTCTATTGGTTCATTCATTGTCTGCCTAATTAATGCTATTATTGTGTTTAATTATGAGTTTTTTTTCCTTATAATAATTATTTAATCTAATTTGATTTTATCTAATTGTCTTGAATAGATATGAAGTTTATAAATAAATGATAATAATTTGATAAGAAGGTCGTGGGGAAGATTTGTAGGTTCAAATTAATATGATCGTACTTATTTCTGTACGTGACAATACTTATTTAGAGTAATATTTTATTTCGGTAATCATGTTTTTTTAGTTAATAGTTTATTGTCTTCTATATAATTTTTTATTGAATTTTTTTTTACTTCCAATTAACTCTGAGTATTAATTTTAAGATTTATTGAAAATTTGAGGTAGGTGAGCTTAAATGGCCCGAGAATTCAACCAACCTGGATTACCCAAGTTGGGTTGGGTTAGTTTGTGAACTTTAATCGGGTTATTCGAGTCACCGACCAACCCATCTGAAATTTCGGGTGAGTCGGGTACTTATTTAAGTGTAATAAATTTTATTGGAAGTATGGACATAAGAGGAAAATGGGTAAAAATAGAGAAGATAAAGGCAAAATTTGGTTGTTTATAAAGGCAATACTTATCCTTTGATGATTATGGGTCTTGAAAAGCATCCTCTTTTGAAGCTCAAACACTTTTTACGTATATCACTTTTGGACCAAATTCATGGAATCTCTACACCTTTGAAACTTTACTTTTGTTGTTTTTTTCCAAGTTAAATGAAGGAACATTTTTTTTTAATTTTTTAAAGTTAATCAAATTAAACTCTAGATTTAGTTCGAAGATGGGTTTCGGTGGCACGGGTGTATTGATATTGGGATCATTTCCCATGAGTTGGAGGTTGTGTTACCGGATTGAGCTTCGACACGATGAGCAAAAACAACTCGACATAGACACAAAAGAGCTCATGTATCAATAGTGCCTAGTCAGATGGATGTTCTCGAGGTCCCAAATATGAAAACAACTCATGGGGCAGTTCTTGATCACCATGCCCGAGTGAATTGCAAAAGTAGATGACATTTTGATACTCGTTGTGACATCACAAAACATTAGTGAGACTCTAATTGGCACGATATTTGGTCTTGATAAGTGCACAAATCATCCAAGAAAGTGTTATAAGCCTATTTTACCCAACAAAGGCTTCAATATCATCTCGATGAAATCCTAAATCAATGTACAGGCACGGGGATCGTGTCGTTGAGAACTAAGTTGATGAAATGGGGTGCAACGTTGTAATTAAAGAACTTTAGCCTAGAGTAGAGACAATGTTGAACCTTAGGACTTGTCCTAAAGTAGAGACAAGTCAACCATCGTCACTATTAGGATTATACAACTCCCACACTTGATCTAGACGAAGAACAATAGAAGATGCAAGAAAAATTATACACAGAGACCTATGAATGTAAAACTCCATAAGATTAGGATTTATTTATAGATAACTTCCACTAGTCACAGATATTCCAATTGGAAACTAAATAATAAAACAAGAATTCATATTAAAAACTACATCGTAGAACAGATAAGATAAAATAAGAGTCTATCTTATACTTCAAATTAAATAACTATTAAGCTTTTTTTCACTCTTAAACTTAACCTATAAGTAAACATCAGGCTGTACAACCTAACAGTCATGAATGAAGAAAAATACTCGTACAAACAACATGTAGGACTCAAATTTAACCTATAAGTAGACATCAGGCTGTACAACCTAATAGTCATGAATGAAGAAAAATACTCGTACAAGCAACATGTAGGACTCAAATTTAACCTATAAGTAAACATCAGGCTGTACAACCTAACAGTCACGAATGAAGAAAAATACTCGTACAAGCAACATGTGGGACTCAAATTTAACCTATAAGTAAACATCAGGCTGTACAACCTAATAGTCACGAATGAAGAAAAATACTCGTACAAACATGTAGGCCTCAAAGTTAATCTATAAGTAAACATCAGGCTGTACAACCTAGCAGTCACGAATGAAGAAAAATACTCGTACAAACAACACGTAGAACTCAAACTTAAACCCAAAAGTAAATATCAGGCTGTACAACCTAACAGTCGTGAATGAAGAAAATACTCGTACAAACAACACGTAGAACTCAAACTTAACCTATAAGTAAACTTCAGGCTGTATAACCTAACAATCGCAAATGAAGAAAAATACTCGTACAAACAACACGTAGAACTCAAACTTAAACCCAAAAGTAAATATCAGGCTGTACAACCTAACAGTCGTGAATGAAGAAAAATATTCGTACAAACAACATGTAGAACTCAAACTTAACCTATAAGTAAACTTCAGGCTGTATAACCTAACAATCGCGAATGAAGAAAAATACTCGTACAAACAACACGTAGAACTCAAATTTAACCTATAAGTAAACTTCAGGCTGTACAACCTAACAGTCGCGAATGAAGAAAAATACTCGTACAAACAACACATAGAACTCAAACTTAACCTATAAGTAAACATCAGGCTGTACAACCTAACAGTCGTGAATGAAGAAAAATACTCGTACAAACAACATGTAGGCCTCAAACTTAACCTATAAGTAACTATTAGGCTGTACAACCTAGCAGTCACGAATGAAGAAAAATACTCAGTACAAGCAACATGTAGGACTCGATAAAGCTACTCAACATAAAATAAAGGTCGGTATGCGTAAAGTTGGACGAAGCCATAAAAAGAGTAAGAAGTATATGGTGGGGCAAACATCACACACCATTCCAATTTTGCAATTTGCAAGCAAACCCACAACGCCAACTTTATTATTATATTTTTCGTTTTTACCAAATTGATTATGTGACATCAAAAGTCAGAGAGAGAGGGAGAGAGAGAGACTCCAAAATGTCCAATCAAATTGGTTTCTTTATTTTACACTTATAAAGTTGAATTGTAGGTCCTTGGCTTTTAATTCTGGAGGCGATGCCCTTTTTTTCTTCTATATAATAATAACCAAAAGCTTTTTATTAATTCCCGATGTCTCTACTTTTGAGCAATCTGCTTCGGATATAAATGCCATGAAATTCCTACACTCAACCTTCAACCACAATGTAACCAACTCATGTCCAAATTCTGGCCCCGACATCTCTAACAACAATATCGTCATATTATTTGCTCCTCGTTTTTAGGAGTGAAAACTATTAGCATTATTTGTCTTCACTCACATGTTTTGTAGGGTCACCCAACATAAAAAATTTTAACTTTGTAGTTTTTATGTAACAACTGAAGCCCACCACTAGCAAATATTGTCTCTTTGGGCTTTTCCTTTTGGGCTTTCTCTCAAAAAAAATTTAAAATGCGGGGAGAAATTTCCACACTCTTATAAATGGTACTTCATTCTCCTCCCCCATTCGATGTGTGATCTCAGAATCCACCCTCCTTCGGGGCCCAGCGTCCTCACAGACACACCACCTGGTGTCCACTCCCCTTCAAGGCTCAGCCTCCTTGCTGGCATACCGCCCAGTGTATGGCTCTGATACCATTTGAAACTACTCAAGCCCACCGCTAATATATATTGTTCTCTTTAAGCTTTGCCTTTTGGGCTTCCCCTCAAAGTTTTTAAAACGCATCAGCTAGGGAGAGGTTTCCACACCCTTATAAATGGTGTTTTGTTTTCTTCCCTAACTAATGTGAGATCTCACATTTTATGATTGAGCCACCAAAAAGAAAAGTGCACCTTATTGTTACAGGTAGTAACTTTCGATTCTTTTAAGCATTTCTTAACCATCCTATTTTCAAAATCACTCCCATTCGAAAATGGTCTCGGTTCATTCATGTACCACTCTAGAAGTAGCAGGAGTGACCCAAACATCTAGAAGTAGCAGTAAAACATTGAGTAGTTATCAACGGGAAACCAAAACATTCAGAACATAATTTCCATTGACTTTAAAGGTCTAAGAGACATAATTTTACACAAGGACTGTTGTAGATTGACACTTATTTCAAAACTGAAGTACAATTCTTTATGAACTAGACAACCTTAAAGAAATTTGAAGTAACTAAGGAAATGAGTGTAAGAAGAAAAAGAGATTCCACCAAATAGAAGCACCAATAATAAATTTTGAAAAGAAACATACTTCTAGAGATTGGTATTTGTTACTCCTGCTATTGCTGAATTCATCATTTGGTGTAGAGAACATCTTCCCATGGATGGCGGTAAAGTGGCTGTTTCAGTCTCTTCTGATCAAATGTGTGCCTGGAGATTTCAATTACAACAACACAGCTATCAGGTAAAAGAAGATCCGATGCACAAATATCGAACTTCAAAAGCTACGAAGCACGGATATTTTAGTTTAGCCGGTGTGTCCGTGCTTGATACTTATTGAACACGTCTCAAACACTTGTTAGACACTCGTGCTACAAAGTTAATATAGGTTTGATATTGTTAGACACGTATTAAACACTTGTGTTAAGTCTACTAAACAGGCACATAAGAAATGTGTAAACTTAGTTTGAATTGTAAACATGTCGTGTCGTGCCGTATCTATGTATATGTATTTGTGCTTCTTAGTTCAAAAGTAAGCAGAAAAACTTGGATACTAATGGTTTCAGATACTCACCCGATCAGACCGATGGATCGAGCCAACACGAACAACCCGTTCAAATAGCCGATCTCGACAATCTCATCGATCTCTTGTTTGCTGAACATTCCACTGCCAGCAAGAAGATCCAAGAAAAGGGATCCAATTGCACCGTCTACATTAAGAACCAAGTTGTTTGCCTTTGAGAGAGTGTAAGTTTCAACTTGCACGGCATACTCCATGTACTTCACAGATGGGAAATGTGTCCGAGCAAACCGCTGGAGTAGCTCCACTCTCTTATCTCGGTTGTCGCCTCGCTTGATCCTTATTCAACGATAATCAAACCATCGATTAACTACTCGAATAACCAATCAGAAAATCCAATCTGAGAACAACCTAAGGTGTTGTAACTTGTAAAAAGACTATCATTGTACCTGTGGCCAATTCCAGGCACACGAATCCCTTTCTTTTTCATGCTTTCGACAAATTCGTATGGTGTAAGATTCTGTAAAAAGCAAGAAGTGACATAATATCTTAGAGAAAAAAGACTCAAAAAACACCAACTTAATTTAAACTTCAGCAATGAATGAACAAATCTCACCCTGTCATATGCATCCTTAAAGTATCGAGCAGCATCATCAACGGCACCACCAAATCGAGGGCCAATCGTAAGCAAACCTATTTCAGAATGTCAATGTCATTGATTAGGCACAACAAGCATAGACCACATAACATCCGTGTCCAAAGCAGTTGAATTACAACCTGAGACAAGGCAGGACACGAGGTCTTTTCCAGCCCGAGCTGTTACTATCGTGTTGTGTGCTCCAGATACACAAGGACCATGGTCAGCACAGAGCATGATACATATCTGAAAAGAACACGAAACTTCTCAAACCTAGATTGTGAGATCTCCATATTGGTTGAGGAGGAGAACGAAACATTCTTTATAAGGATGTGAAAACCTCTTCCTATCAAATGCGTTTTAAAAACTTTGAGGGGAAAGCCGAAAGGGCTCCCAAAGAGGACAATATTTGCTAACGGTGGGTTTGGGCCATTACAAATGATATCAAAGCCAGACACTGGGTGATGTGCCAGCGAGGAGGCTAAACTCCGAACGGGGTGGACACGAGGCGGTGTGCCAACAAGGACGTTGGGCCCAAAAGGGGGTGGATTGGAGGGTCCCACATCGATTAGAGAAGGGAACGAGTGCCAATGAGGACGCTGGGCCCTGAAGGAGAGTGGATTGTGAGATCCCATATTGGTTGAAGAGGAGAATGAAGCATTCTTTATAAGGGTGTAGAAACTTCTCCCTAGCATACACGTTTTAAAAACTTTGAGGGAAAACCCAAAAGAGAAATTCCGAAAAGGATAATATCTGCTAGCGGTAGGCTTGGGCCGTTACATAGATTCAAGACTATAATTTCAACTTCCACTCGAGTGTACGTGAAAGTGGAAAAGCAAAAGAATAAAAGCTATTAAATTGAAGAGGCTTAGCACAATAGCTACCTACCTCAATGAAATGTGTACAGTACCGAGGAAGACTGCGCTTGAACCATAATAGTGAGATAACATCCCCAACACCATAACCTTGCTCAACAATGGAAGACATTGGAATTCCAGCATAGCTGGGCTCCTCACCTATTATTTTTTATTTTCAAGAACCAATTATAATATTTAATGCTATTACATCCTAAAGGGTACTGAAAGAGACTTTTGTTACTAGGTTAAAAACAAACCTCTGTCATCAGAAATGGTGGAAATAATATGGGTTGGAGCTCGAACTTTTCCACTCTTAATTGCTGAGTTAAGATCTTCAGGAATTTGTGGAGGCTTCACTTCCTTGACTGGAGTAATTTTCCCCGCTTCGACCTACGCGTAAATCAGATGGAAAAATAAGATTATGAGGAAGTCAGATAAATGATGATCTTCCTGGATTCAGAGAAGGAAGTCATATAATTAATGAATTTACCAATTTTCCAAATGTTTCCTTGATTGCATCTTCAAGGGCTTCATATGAAGTAGGAACGATTGCACCAGCATCCCTTAAAGCTTGGTTTTTAGCTTGTGCAGACTCCAACTCACCACCACTTTTTGCTCCCTGTAGTCAACGTCAGAGATGGTCAAGGAGTTAATAAGATGTGTCTGCAAATCCTATCATACAATAAAAATATAGTAAGCGGGACGAGTCCAGTGTAAACTTACAGCATGTCCAAATTGAACTTCAGATTTAAACAGTGTTGCACAAGTACCACTGACCCAGGCAACCACTGGTTTGGTAACTTTTCCTTGTTTCATGGCTTCAACTAAGGAATACTCATCCCGACCACCAAGTTCTCCAAGTACAACCATCATCTTGATCTAAGAAATAGAAAAAAGATAAGCATATTAGATGCAGAGAACAAAGTACATAAGGAGCCAATTTAGTAACGACTCCATTAAAGTGTTATCATCACTGCCATCTATGATAGTTAAACCAAGTATTTTACTTTTGTGCGCATTTGTGTGTTTGTGAGGACTGGAAGTGGTACTTGTGTGGCTAGGGACCTTAATAGACATGACTTCTGGCATGCACAAAGAGTTAATAGTTCATCTACAGAAGGTGTCGATCACAATACCTGTGGGATGTTGTTAAACCGCAAAATATGGTCAGAAAGAGTGGAGCCTGGAAACACATCACCTCCAATTGCAATACCTGTTCAATTAAAGAATGTGAATCAGATTGAACATTTCAAAACTCTGCTAGACTAAGATAGTGATAAGTTAGGAAGTTTACCTTCATAAATTCCATCTGTAACACGGGCAATAGTATTGTACATCTCATTGGACATTCCACCCTGTGATATCATAAAACATTATCATACTCGTATCATTTCTCAGTAAGTCGCCTATCTTAGAGGGTGGAAACAAGTTTTGACATTTCTTTTAATTAACCAAAAGAAAAAAAAATTGATGTCATCTTGGGAAAACCAGACAATGCACAGAGAAAATTCATTAAATAGCAAGGACATATGATGTTATCAGACATAGAAATAAAATCCAGAATGCCAACACGAATTAGTCGCACACTCTTTTCCATGCAGGTGCACACTTTTGGTTGAAATAACTAAGTCAATAATAAAAGTTAGAAAATTTCTAAACAAAAAGTTCAGCAACAGTCACATACTGATTTAGAGACAAAGCCCACAGATCCAGGCCTGTATAGCTTGCACTGTATTATATTATCGATTGTTCCAGCAGTGTCACCAATCTTAAACGCTCCAGCTTGAATGCCACCAACAGTAGCTGGACCTATAACAACCTGCATTTGAATCATGCAGAGAGAAAATGTTCAATTTCATTAACAAACCCTAAGATTTGCAGATTATTTGTGCTATATTTCAGTTCACTCGTCATTTGGTATATGTATGCACCCTCAAGTATATTTTTCCGTGTGTTACTAAAAGCATCAAATCTTTTCTCACCTTATTGTTAGCCCGTGCATATGCAATCAACTGTTTGGTGTCTGACTCTGGAACACCTTCAGCTATGATAGCTATAACTCTGATGGTAGGCTGTTTCAAAGCAGACAATGATGATGCAGCAGCACTGCACATTTGGCAGCATAAACTAGTTATGATTGGAAACAGAAATCTGTGTTCTCTCATAATAAAATTACGATAACGAACACTTGCCTTCTGAAGGATGCAAAATTAATAAAGACATCTGCTGTGGGATGTGCTGCACAAGCTGCCTCAATCCTGAAAAATGTATAAAAAAGAAGTTGGAAAGTTAATCTATTTGTGCTAGACAAGTTAAATGAATCAGGAAAAGAAAATTATTGTTAAAAAAAAAAAAGAAGTAATACTGGTCAATGATGCTTAACTCAATTTAGAAGATTAGTAAAACTACCACTTCAAACTATTTATTGAATTTCAAGCTAATGTTATGACATGGTATGGTAGAAAGACACAGGTTGGAGGAGTAGTAAACTATAGAAGCAACTTCTGGAACTAAAAGCCTATAAAAAGGTCATTGAGCAATGGTTTTAAAATCATGAACGGGTAAGTTATTACGCACGTAGAATGCACAGGGATGGCAATTTCCTCTTGACCAAAAAAGAGTTTCTGAAATCCCTCGGAACCCGGATTGATGATTCCAGCAACTGATGGCGTTTCCCTCCCTGAATAATTGGTCCAAAACGGAAAAGTTTAGTTCTGCACTACTGAGATGGTGCTCAGAATAGAAGATAACAGATACAAAAAGAGGAAACTATAAGAAATGATCCATACCGCAGAGGAAGTCAAAGTCAAGCATCCGTTGGATGGGTAGTTGCTTGTAGTTGTAGAACAGTGCTTGGGTCGTACGAGAAAATATTTGTCCAGTGGCCATGGTGCCCGTCCAAGGAACCTGCGGATAGGAACTATGTTTTTTCATACCTTTTTCACTAGATTTTTAAACACAACTTTTTCTTTTTCAAAAAGCAAAAAAAAAGAAGGTTTCTACACACGATTCACTGGACATAATGACCAAATCAGGTAAGATAAATGAACTTCCTCAATACATCTTCCCTCATCACTAAGCCGATTATCTAAAATCTAAATTGCTAATTACAAGATTCTTCGCTTTTATTACATTTCGACTAAAAGCCCTTCATGAATTAACGACACCTGTTCAGAAACCATGGCGATCTAAGATTGACGAGTAGAGCAGGTGGACAAAAAGGGGAATAACGTTTACAGAATTAAACAGTTCTGCTTTCAATCCGTACATAATTCAACAAATCGATCTCGGAAAACGGGAAGAAGTTCAATGAATTGCATTATTATCTACCGAATTAACTGAAGGAAAGAAACAAATTAAAGAAATACTACCTCGAAACAACGCATCTGCTAAAATCCAAATTCAAGAACAAAAAGGGAGAGAGTTAAACCCTCGCAATTAGACCAAACATATGGACGAGTTCAATGCCTCAAAAACACAAACGACAACCAAATCCAACAGATCAGCAAATCAAACGCCGAGAAACATGATCTTAAATCTAAAAATCTTCTCAACTCACAGAAACTAAGCTTTAAAGAGATCGGAAAACGCGACGCTTCGAAGACTAGGAGTAAAACAGGGAGAAAGCAACGTAATGTAAGAGAGGTAAACAGGAATTCAAATCGAAGAGAAGTGAAAAACAGATCCAAAAGCAGGAAGAACAGCAGAATAGAGTAATAGAAACGGGAAAAAAAAAATGGGAAAGAGAGAAGAACGGACCTGAAAGCTCAGTGAAGGAAGGGAGTCCGGCGGTGGCGGATTAACGGGAAATTGAATACTGGAAGTTGGGAAATGGAATTGGATTTATATAGAGAAGGCGAAAATGGTAAAACTGGAGAACGTTGAAGGGAGCTGCGACAAAGGAACGGAGAAGATGATCCAGGCACGTGGTCGCTGTTGCCTCTGGTAGTTGGCTCACGACCATCAGCACGTGATTCTCATGTTTTGCTTTATTTCGCTAATGGTAAGTAATCCTTCTCGCGGCGGGAACAAAATTATAAATTTTTAAAATTAAATTTATATATAAATTAATTCATTTTCAAATTTTAAAATTTATCGTAATTAAAAAATTTATTAAACTTAAAAATAAATTAGATATTTTAAAATTTCATTAAAATTCTTAAAACCTTATAAAATGTTTAACACGCTATTTAATTAAATTAATTTTGTGTCTAAAAATGTTAATACAACTTTTAAAATATTTAATATTCTCAATTTTTTTTTAATTTAGAGTATAATAGATTATTAAAATATTTTAAATTTTTATAAAAAAATAGTTAGATAAGTTAGATATATAATTAATTTCTATGTCTAATAAAATTATAAAATTAAAATTTTTGGAAGTATTAATAAAAAATTTTAAATTTTAAAAATTAATAAATAATTTTTAAAATTTAAGGATTAAATAGACGTAAAAAAATATTTCACGGTGTCTCGTTGATTCCTACATGGATCCACCCGAACATTTAATTATAAAGAAAAATTATTTTTTTTCCCTTTATTGCATTTTGGTAATTATTTTTATTAAATTCATGAAAAATGACAATTTAAAAATTATAAATAAATATTAAAAAGACGGTACCTTAGTATCTTAATCTACGGCGCTTACGTTATTTAACAAAACAATTGGAAAATTGACCGTTGAAATTGGAGAAAATTATAATAAACTATTTTTTCTAAAAAAAATCTAGTAAATATAATAATTAACTTGGTCTATGTGAATATAGTTCAAATTTATTTAATTAAAATTATATAACTTCGTGTCTCCGTCGTTGAGTTATTTTAATTATTTATTAGCCATTGAATTAGTATGACTTATATTATTAATACTTAACCCATGTTTCATGATCTTATATAATTAACTTTTGTGGCCTTCCATTACATAAATATTTATAATAATTTTAATACAATTTATAATATTAAATTGCCTAAAATACCCTCTTTCTCTACCTAATTTTCAATTAAAATACTTCTAAATTATAAATTTTTTTAATCAACATTAAAATATATATATATATATATATATATATATATATATATATATATATATATATAATATATGCTTAAACGGCTGAAAGTCCATAAACTTCCAATTATATGTCTAATTGTTCGGTGACACCCGAGTAAACGAGGGATACATGAATGAACTACAACCACATCTGAATGAGAGTAATACTGAGGATATATGATGTCTAAAGAATTATATAGTTAAGCGTGTTTAGTTTGAAGCAATTCTATGTTAGGTGATCTGTTGAATGTTTTTTTAACATACATGTGTGAGTGAAAACAAAACATTCTGAAAATACTATGTTGGTCTAAGGAGTAAGTAATGTGTCCATATCGCACAGAATGTAGAAGAATGTCGGGGCTATCAAGTGTCAAATCTTGATTCGAATCCTAGGTATAAGTTATTACAAATGGTATCATAGCGGTACTTCTCCTTATAATATGTGGTTCGGAGACGAATCAATGCGGAAGTTAGTGGGCATGTGACGCCCGAGTAAAAAAAAAATACATGAATGAACTAAGATCACGTATGAATGAGAGCAATACTGAAGATAGAATGACTAATAAATATTTAAAATAATTTAAAGGTGCACCTTATTTTCAGTAACTCAACCATAGAAAATTCATTTTATATTCTACTAAAATGTTTGGTATAGTTTTTTTTATAATTATTTTAAATTTTTTAATAATTAATACATGTCGTTTATCTGTCTCGAGTCTCGTCTAAAGCGATTCAATTCTTGGAAGCAAACAAGTCTCTCGATTCAATTCAGTCTAGATAGGTCAACCCGAGATAGTAAAAATCAATAGAAGCCATTAATATGGACGATTTAGGTAGCCGCCAGTTATATGGATACGTTTCTCGAATTATATGGAGTCGTCCTCGGAGGAACTTTTCAGATGACTAATTATACGCTAAAACTATATTATAAAATAAAATATATGCTAAAACTATAGTTCTATAATGAATTTTATTTTTTAAATTAATTTATTTGTAGTTTATTATAAAATAAAATATTATTTATTTGCGTAGCTCGTGAAGATTAATTAAAAGCGACTTAGTCAAGTAATTGGGGTGGAAGTGGAAATAAATGGGATTTTGGGCAAATATTTAATATTGTTAAAAATTTAAATATGCAATAGCGTGAGGGTGATGATTTAATTTTTAATTAGTTGCGGGTTTAAAAGGGCAGGTTGTCCATTGTCCATAACGTTGACAACTAATAAAATAAAAGATCCTCAAGATTCAACCATTTAATTAAAAATTAAAGAAAAATATTGCCTCCAAATTAATTTATTTTTCTATGACTCGGTCCACGTAATTTTGGATTATATTTTGATATTTTGTAAATTTTAAAATTTAAATGAGATAACTCTATTTTAAAATTTTCAATTTTTTTTAATAAAACATTTTAAATATTTAATTTGAATATATATTTTTAAAAATTACCTTCCAAATAATTAAAAATTGTCCGAGAATAATTAAAAATATGTATATATTATTGTACGAACAAAAAAAAATTATATTTTAAAATTAACAATAAATTCTGATTGATTTGGTTTTCGGGCAATTTTGATAATTTTTTTATGGCATAAATTAAATTACAATAACTCTATTATTACAAAATTAAAATTTAAAAATTAAACCGTTAAATATTAAATTTGAATGACTAAATTAAGAATAAAAATATAATATATGATATGGTCCATCTCAGCGGTTTGTCTTTACTACATATTTTTAAATATAATTTGTTTATTACGTTCTACCAACTTTATTTTTTAATTTAACATAATTAGTTTTTTAATTTAACATAATTAGTTTTCATAAAAAACGTGTCAACAAATAATTTTAATTTTTTATTTTAAAATTTAGATTCTCCACTAAAGTACAACAAATTGAGTTGTAGGAGTCGGTAATTTTTTTTCGAGTAAAGTTAATTATCACTGAACACTGTTGATTCACGTCGGTAAATTATATTTATATTTACAATAATAGTAATATATAAGAAAAAATTAGTAAAATTATATGATATATTTAATTAGGCAAAATGTAGAGCAATTTTGAATAATGATTTAAATATTTAATAATTCTGGCTGAAATTAGAGACCAGAAATTGTCAGCTGTGTTTGTGGTCTAATTCATTCCATTATTTTATTAATTTTAAAATACTTTTTATGAATTTCTTTTCCTCAAGCCAAACGACGCCGTTTTTTCCAATTGTTTGGACTTCAAAGCCAATCCTTAAATTGCAGATGCCTAAATAAATAAATTCAAATATATATATATGTGTATGCTAGCAAATATTGTCAGCTTTGACTGATTCGTATCATTTGTGTGTGTATATGTATTTAATAGCCCAAATTCATCACTAGCGGATATTGTCTGCTTTGCTTCGTTACGTATCATCGTCAGCCTCACAATTTTAGAACGTATCTGCTAAGGAGAGGTTTCCATACCCTTATAAGGAATGTTCCGTTCCACTCTCCAATCGATGTGGGATTTCACAATCCACCTCTTTGGGGCTAGCGTCCTCGCTGGCACACTGTCTGATGTCTAGCTCTGATACTATTTGTAACAGTCCAAGCTTACTGCTAGTAAATATTGTCCGTTTTGGCACGTTACGTATTGTCGTTAGCCTCCCAATTTTAAAATGCGATAAGAATGTTTCGTCTTTTTTTTTCTTCTAAAATAAGCATTTAAAAAAATAATAGTTATTGTCGTCTTTGAATTCATACAATTTTTTTCTCTTTGTTTTATAATAATAGAGTTTTAAATCTCTATTATTTGATCATTCCAAAGAATGAGTTCAATAATCATCTCCGGCGAGAGTATGCGCCACATAAGAGGCAATGTCACAAATATCTCTAAGGTTCTTGACGTTCTTTGGTAGTGACGACGGCTGATTGAAGGTATCTAGACATTGGTCAACATCGTTCGTGGCACCGATGACTTGAATTGTGACGACAATATAGCCACCAAAGGCCAAGTGTTGTTTGCCAACCTCTATGGCGTTCACTGAAGAGTTTGTGGATTCTAAGCATTCTGAATATCGTTTCTTAAGCTTTGGATTAACTGTTTCTTCTGCCTCGAGCTGTTGTACGCGACGGCGACATTCGACAACGCTCGTATGTGCAAGGTGGAGCATGAGATCGACCATGTAAAACAGAAAAACGGAAAATTGATATTGAACCCATGAGCACGCCTCAAATAAAGTATGAACTAAATTATGAGCGTAACCGTTATTAACTAAATTAAACGATGATAATCCATATAATTTTATGATATAATTATTTAATAACATGAATTAATGATTAAATTGGAAATGTATTTATAGAAATTAAGAAAATTAAATATAAAGGAAAATGAAAATATAAAGAAAAAAAAAAAGGAAAAAGGGAAATTAAAAGAAAGTAACTAAAAGGAAAAAAAAAAAAGAAAGAATTAATTTAAAATCGACCCAACAATATTTAACCTCTATTTATAAACTTATTAATTGAAAAGATTAATATTTTAATCTCGAGTAAATTATAACAGATTGAGTTGTGGGAGTCTGTAATTTTTTCAGAGTACACGTCAATTACTACTACTTCAGTCAATTATATTTAAATTTACGATAAAAGTAATATATAAGAAAAAGTTAGTAAAAATCTATATTATATTTAATGTATTTAAAATTAAGGAGAAATTTAGGAAAGCAAATTAGGCAAAATGTAGAGCAACATTTAATAATGATTTAAATATTTCTTAATTCATTCCATTATTTTTATTAATTTTAAAATACTTCGAAATTTCTTTTCTTCAAACCAAAACGACGCCGTTAAAAGTGTAATGTCTTCTTCGAAGCAATTAATGTTGATTAACTTAATTAAACTATGATAATCAATATACTAAATATGATCAAACTGTATATTAATTATAATAAAGGATAGTAATTGGTAGCCATATTATAATTTTACCATATTTAATTTGATATGAAATTGGATATTAACCGAATATATAATTATAATATTTATCGTCATACACAAAAGATAGTAATTTGATCACTCCTGGGAGTTCATTAATCATCTCCGGCGAGAATATGTGTTACATAAGAAGTAATGTAACAAATATCTCCAAGATTCTTGACGTTCTTTGGAAGTGACGACGGTTCCGGTGGCGGCTGATTGAAGGTATCTAGACATTGGTCGGTATGGCTTTCGGCGCCGTTGATTGAATTGTGAGGGCAATATAGTTTTTATACTCCATGTATTGTTTTCCTCTCTATGGCGCTCACCGAAGAGTCTAAGCATTGCGAGCATTCTGAACATCGTTTCTTAAGCTCTAGATTGGTTGTCTCTTCCGCTGAGCTGCTGTACGCGGCCACGACATTCAACAGCATTCGTATGTGCAAGGTCGATCATGTAATTGGCCATATTTGTGGCGTTTAAGTTGCTCACAGGTTTCAACAATTGCCTGCATAAAGATGGGTTTCTGGTTTGGGGGCAGATGGTCGATATAGTGTCGTTTTGGGGCGTTGTGTCTGCATGCGAAAGAACAACACCGAAGAAAAGAACACAACAAAGGAAAAATCTGACGTAGCTGAAGACGCCCATGTTTTTTTCCCTCCTTTTTACTAATGTGATCTTACCGATGAAATATATATATATATATGGTAACGAGTAAAGATACCAAATTTGAAATTAAGAAAATTGATGTTGAAAAGATGGGCGCCTGGTATGAACCAAACCATGGACGTCAGAGTTATTAACTAAATTAAACGATGATAATCAATTACAGTTCTACAAAGACAATATTGGTGTTCGATTTAAATAATTTATTTTAATTCTTAATAAAATCAAAATACAATCCAATACTTTCAAATCTCATTCCCTTAAGATTAAAAAAAAACATTATTTGAGCACACCACGACTGAGTTCAAGCATCATCTCCGGCGATAAAATGCGTGAAATGACAGGCAATCTCACAAATATCATTAAGATTCTTGACGCTCTTTTGAAGAGCCGACGGTTCCGGTGGCGGTTGATTGAAGCTATTTAGACAATCGCCTGAATCCGTAAAGGCACCCATGGTGTTAAGATCGGCAACAATATAAGAACCATAGCCCATATATTCTTGAGCAACTTCTATGTCGGTCACTGTAGACTTTATGGATTTCGAGCAATATGAATATCGTTTCTTAAGCTCTAGATTGACTGTCTCTTTCGCCTCGAGCCCTTGTGCATAGTGTAGACATTCGATGGCGCTCGTACGTGTAAAGTTGAGGGTGTAATTTGTTAGGCTTACAGAGTCTAAGTTTCTCACCGATTTCAACATTTGCCAGCATAACAATGGGTTACTGGTATTTGGACAGATGGTCGATATAGTGTCGTTTTGGAGCGTTGTGTCTGCATGCGAAAGAACGACTCCGAAGAAAAGAACACAACAAAGGGAAAATCCGACGTAGCTGAAGACACCCATATTTTTCACTCTTCCTTCTTACTAATGTGTTCTTATATATATATATATATATATATATATATATATGGCAACAAGTAAAACCGACACATACCAAATTTGAAATAATGAACATCTCGATTAAATATCAACCATCAGACTTACTCCGAGATAGGTATGAACCAAACTATGGGCGTCTTGAGTACTGTTAAAACCGTGGTCGGTTTAAACAACGTGAATAAGAGAATCAGATTCATACCTTTTTCGAGATGAATCTGAATTTGACATAATTAAATTAAGAATATAGATTAATTTGTGGGTCCCACAAAAATAAAATTAAGAATAAGCTTTTAAAAATAAAATAAAAACAATTGATTAAATAATCATTGTAATTTTATGATATGGTTATTTAATAACAATGGATATTATTAAATGAATATATATTTATAACAGTTATTATGATTTTACCATGTGTAATTTGATATTGGTTATAGTAAATTTTAACGATAATAGTAAATTATTTAATAACATGATCAAATTGAATATTAACTGAATATATAATTAATTTGACTGACGTAAAATTGAGACTAACTTTCATAATTATAATTTACTGAGGTGACTGCTCTAACATAATAATTTCTTAAGATTTCTTAATGTTTTTCGTATTTACCTAAATTTATTTCTAAAATCATAGATTATTTTTTTAACATAAATACAGTCATTCATATAATGTTTGAGTTTAACCCTATTGGACTAGCGATGATATTTTAACCAACTGTCACGGTCCTACATTTTTTACCGTGCGACGTCGTGATCTTGACACGCTCACGACTAACTTTAAGGGAAATTAAGCCTCATATATATTTTTCGCCCCGGTTTTGTGGGTTCATCGGACCTTAGGAGGCGAGGTTTATCTTCGCCAATCAAACATCACTTATGAGGAATCCAAGTTTGTTCAACCACACACGCCGCCTGTGCATGTATGTTCAATCGTCTGCGACACATCTAACTTGCCTCTACACTAAGCCAAGTCATAAGATTTATTAAGGAAACATAAGATTTATTAAATAAATTTATTACATACGAAATGTTAAATCGGTTGAAATGTGAAATTGTGAAGGAAAAAGGTGTTAACAGAATTTGGCGGATTTGAAAGCGAGAGGGAACTTGAAGGTGGTGGAGTAAACGAATCTGATGATTTGGCCTGGTTTCAATGCCCGCCCGCCGTTCACCAAACAATCATCGTTACCCAGGCGCCTGAAAAGTCTAGGGTTTATGAGGTTTGCAGAGGAAAACATGCCGCAAGACAGATGAACATCCAACGGCGCGCAATCGGAGAGACACGTGTTCATGATTTCGACGGCGTACTGTGGAATCCCCGACGTTGAAACTTGTCCCTGCGATATGCTTATGTCTCTCCCGCTGCATTTTTCTGCTTAATAAAATATAAATGAATAATTAAATAGTTTAGTTTAAAAAAAACACTTATGCCTGTTTCCCCTGGCACGTGGTCCCATGTCTGCCTCTGAGGAGCAGATATTATCCTATTTGTCTGCCTATTTTTAAGGAGTAGATATTATTTTATTTGTCTGCAGGAGCAGATATTGTCCTATTTGTCTGCCTATTTCTGAGGAGCCGATATTGTCTTATTTGGCTTTTCTAAAGTTAATAGGGAAGTGTGATGTTCCACATTGGTTGGGAGGAGAACAAACCATAGAGTGTGGAAACTTTTCCTTTAGCAGAAGGATTTTAAAGTCTTGTGGGGGAAGCCCGAAAGAAAAAGCTCAAAAAGAACCATATCTGCTAGTGATGGATCTGGGCTGATCTGCCCTGTTACAGGAAGGTTTCCATACCCTTATAAAAGGTATTTTGTTCTCCTCCCGACCAATGTGAAGGTTTCCATCTGGGCTGTTACAGGAAGATTTTCGTACCCTTATAAAGGATATACTCGTTTCCATCTGGGCTGTTACAGGAAGGTTTCCATACCCTTATAAAGGGTATTTTGTTCTCCTCTCGACCAATGTCAACCTCATTCAGTTTATCAATAACTCGAGAGATTTCAAGAACCTTCCCAACCAATATCAACCTCACAGGAACAAAGGAGTATATTCAGTTTATCAATAACTCGAGAGATTTCAAGAAATGATAGATATATTCTCAGTTTCAATAACAAACTCGAGAGATATTAAGAAAGCAAGGTTAAACAGCCGAAGAAAAGAAATTAACATTTACACATTTAATTTTGGAAAACAAAAAACTGGGAATCGTTAAACAACAATCGTACCTTGCTTCAAAGGCTTTTTACGGTGGAGAAGCGCTCGCTCGGGCTCGACGGGAATTGAAGGGTTCGTGTGGTTGAAGGAAGAGGCCATTGAATCCTTTGAATGAAAGCCAAAATTGAAAAATAGGATGAAAAGAATGCATAGTAAAAAGGTAAAATGTGGAGGATTATTCATGGCCATTCTTTTCCAGTAATTCTTTTGTGGAAATAAAAAGAACAAATTATGGAAAAGAATAAAACAGCGAAAATCAATTGAAAGGAAATGGAAGATTTCGGGGATTTATAGGTTTTTTTGTTTGTTTTTTTTACCACTTTTAGTAATTCTTTTTTTGCTAATTTATTTCGTGTCCGTTAATTATATTAAGAGATTATTTTTTTTATTAAATAGAGTTAAATTACAATTTAGTGGTTACAGTTTTGAATTTTATTTATTTAGTTTTCGAATTTTTAAATTTTTTTTTGTAATAAGTAATAGTATTTTTTTTTTCTAATAATTGATTCCAAAAAAATTCGAAATTTTTTAAATTTTAATAAGTTTATCAAATACATAAATATATAATTTTGAAGATTAAAATTTTTTTAAATTTGTAATTTAATTAAAACATGTGAATTTAAAATTCAAATATTTATTTGTTGTTTGAAAATTTAAAATTATAAAATTGAAGATTTAATATTTCTTTATTAATTAATTTTTAAAACTTTTATTAAATAAAATTGAGAATTTAATTTAGCATACAACCTTAAAATTCTATATTTATTTACTCTTTCAAACATTTTAAAATTTAAATTTATTCCATTATATATATACAATAAAAGTTTATTTATATTTATTAAATTAATTAAGTTTTAAAATTTTTAAATAATTTGGGACAGACATTAGTGGTGAATGGGGAACAAAAACAGTGACCTCGTATAGAGCACTTTTAACAGCTTGTGTTAAAGTTGGTGGGTCGTGTCATATCGCTCTGATTCCAATCGGTTGAAACGACCTATGGTTAAAAGAAATCGATTAAAATAATTTGGTTTAAAGTTTTGTTTAGGACGAAAAAAATGTTTGAAAATAGAATGATCGATAATCAAATAATTATATTATATTTAGCGTTATATTTTCTTAACTATTTTATTACATTATTTAATTTTATGTAATTAATTGTGGTTAATTATTTTATTTTTATTGAGTTAGATTATTAAAATAATTTTAACTTGCATTAAATTGTTAATGTTTATTTGGTAATAAATATTAATAATTGTCTTAATATACTTAAGAATCTTATACAATTATAATAATTTAGTAATAAAATAATAAAATTGCATATCAAAAAGGCATATTATTTACCGTTTATTATCATTAATTACCATTTTAATTCGAATCAATAATTGATTGGAAATTTATTATTATCTAATAATTAAGTTTTGATTTTGTTTCTATATAAATAATTTTTTTAGGTTTATAAATTTTGAAAAATAGTTGAAAAGTTAACGATCCATTAGATATAAAATAAAAATTCAATAACGGATGCTATAAAAAAATTAAGAGTTTAAAGACATTTTAAAAAATTATAGTACCAAATAGATATAAGTTTAGAACTCGTAAATATATATATATATATTTTTTTTCTTTTCTTTTTTCTTTTTTGTCGTAACGCAAATAATTAAGAACGAAAAATGTCGTCCGAGCCTAAAATAAAGGCCTCAATGACGTTTGTTAGTTGAAAAATATCAAGCTTGAGACTCAAATTGTCTTTCTTCGAGGGTTGGATAAAAATTTGACTTCGATTGAGATTGTGAGATCTTACATCGGTTGGAGAGAGAAACAAAACATTTCTTAGATGTGGAAACCTCTCGGTAGTAGACATGTTTTAAAATCATAAGGCTGACAGCGACACGTAAGGGGTCAAAGCGGTCAATATTTGTTAGCGGTGGGCTTGAGCTGTTACAAATGATATTAAACCTAGACATTTGGGTGGTGTGTCAGTCCCTAAGGGGGGTGGATTGTGAGATCCCACATCGGTCGGAGTGAAAACGAAGTATTTCTTATAAAAGTGTAGAAACTTCTTCCTAGTAGACATGTTTTAAAACCGTGAGGCTGACGACGATATGTAATGGGTCAAAACGGACAACATTTTTTATCTGGGTTGTTACAAATGGTATCAACGCATTTTAAAATCATGAGGCTAACGATACGTAACGAGCTAACATACAATATCTGCTCTTTGGGCGGTGTTACAAGTGGTATCAACGCATTTTAAAATCGTGAGCTGACGGCGAAAGTGGGAAATATATGCTCTTTGGGCGGTTACAAATTGTATCAGAGCCAGACACGGGGTAGAATGCCAATTAGGACATGGCCCCTGCCGTAAGGCTGACAGTATGCAATGGACCAAAACGGATAACATCTGCAAGCTGTGGACTTGAGTTGTTACAGAGATTCTCTCCTTCCAACTCGTGGCACGAGTACACAACCGTTCGAAACCAATAATTACGAAACTTGAGACTTTGTTAAATTATATAAATAAAAGTATATACTATTGCGTGTTATTTTGGAAGGGACTTGGCCTTGGCCGTGGCCACCTTTAATAACTTCACAAAAGAGATGTATCAATACCACAAAAGAGAGAGAGAGAGAGCACTTTTCAGAGCCATAGAGCATGTGGTGGAATTTACTGCAAAATCACATAAATATCCAAAAAGGTGAAAATTCTCCACTTTTATTCCACATAATGTCATTTCTCCCACCCTATTTCACCACAGTAAATTTAATTCAGTTAAAATGTTGTATTCTTCAAACTAATCTCTAAAGCTACATCATTATGAACAAAGCTTCCAATTGTTGGTATTAGAGTGAGGCTTGGACTTTGACGTTCTCTCGGAATTCTAAGCATGCTCTGTGGTTGTTGCTTCAATTGATCTTCCATGGTCTCCGTCTTCTTGTCTCGAGCTTGTTTACCGAAGTAGTCGACAAGAAAATGTACTTCAACACGAAACGGACAGATATGACAACAAAAGTATCCGACGTGTGGTTTGAAATGAACTACAAACTTAAGGAGTTGTTAACTTTTGCTGAGCTGATAAGAGAAGGATCATAGCATTTGACTGTTCCCACCAAAGCCAAGGCTTCCACAAGTGCAGCCAAGAGATAGTCCGGGTAGTTTTCAATATTGGAATCTCCACTTTGTGCTTGCATTGAACTCAAGACCCTTCCAACTATCTGAACAATACATTAAACATGGATCGTAGAGAAGATTTTTGAACTCGAAAATCTAAACTTCGTATGCAAATTTGATGAACTAACTTACTTTTCGGGCATAGCCCCCATAAGCAATACCGCCAATCAACGCGTGCAATGAACTTGATAGCTCTTTGTTCATCAAATCCTCTAAATGTAGCAGACAAATATTTGATTCTAGATTGAACATCAAGCAAACATAGCGAGACTGTATATTGATGTAAATGAAACACAGTGAGAGGTCGAACTTACTACGAGTTGATGTGGATTGAAAAAGTCCCTGTTTCTTCAAGCCATCAACAGTGTAGAAATTTGTACCACCAGCCAGTTGAAGGAAGCCTGCAGAGGAAACAAGAAGCTTGTTAGTGAAGTGACATGAATATGAGCCTCATGGGACGGGATCTCTACACGAACCAGGAGGACGGTCATTGGAAAGAGCTAACTGAGCAGCGAAAGCAATAGTTTCCCTTGTAGCGCCTCGTCCGATATCTCCACTCATCGGCCGACCGTCTAACTTCAGATTAAATGAAATGATGATGGTGAAAACAAATAAAACATTTAGAACTAAGACATAGTAACATAAATGGAAGCAAATCAGTTGGCTTCATGAAGTTTGAGGCAGACCTGCCATAAGTTCGAACAACGGAGCTGTGATTCCATGATCGAGAACATCGTTTTCATTGTAGATATTGTTAAATCGCCAATATTGGGCAGGCTTACCTGGATTAAGTATAAGTTCTGTACATTAAGCAAGGGGAAGATGGCTAAAATGCTCAAATTCTAAAAGAGAGAAAAGGCTCAGAATCAACACACTTACTGCAACAAGCCTTAGATATTTGGATGAGTCCCCTAATTTATCCCATAGTTCTTGAAAAGGAGTGGTTTGCCTAGAAGAAAGAGTTCTCAAAAGTGCAACATTAAACATTCAGAGTTCAAAGTCTAAGTTTTATATATACCTTCCATTGGTGTGAATCTCTAAAGCATCGACGTCGCCCCGTTTTATAAGTTTTATAAAAAGTGCAACATTAAACATTGGTGTGAATCTCAAAAGTGCAACATTAAACATTCAGAGTTCAAAGTCTAAGTTTTATATATACCTTCCATTGGTGTGAATCTCTAAAGCATCGACGTCGCCCCGTTTTATAAGTTTAGCAGTAGTAGCTGCATCCCTTACATATGTGACTAGATCTGCATCAATTCGAACAAGTTAAGAATCAGCAGCAGAGCAGCACCAATCCAAAATAAAGGTTACGTTCTTCCCATCAAATCAACAACTAAAGACATACTTATTTTATCATATGGGCAGACTGGAGAGCAGCGGCCGCAACCGTAACATCGCTCTGTGATAACTCCGCCCTGCAGGGGAGGGGCATGGCTGATAAGGTTTTTTATACTAATTGAGTACTGAGGGTGATATGAACCAATCAGAGGACTCTATTCCTTATACAGGTAAGGAATACATTTCCATTGGTACGAGGGCAAAGCCATGAGCTTATGCTCAAAATGAACAATATCATACCATTTGTGGTTTCTAGCAATACATATACTCACAACCAACCTCACCAATCTTTATAGAAGTATTGAAGCTAGCTCCAGAGTCATCATCGAATACTCCTTGGAGTTGGGCGGGCAAGTTCATTAAGACCCATTTCATAGCCATTTAGTTCTTGATTAAATTTTGAAAACTAAGATAACAAGACAAAGAAAATTCATAGGTGAAAGTAGTGTTTTGCTTAAGTTTCAAAAATCAAAGGGTTATTAAACGAGGCCTAGTAATCGAGTTTGGAACAACCAGAGAGAAAGGGAGGACAGGAAAAGCAACCTTCAATGCTCCAGACAAACTGGCCACTTCAGAAGGCTCGTTCATTATTTCTTCCCGTAGTGAAATTGCATTAGCAGGGCAAACAATTTCGCAAGGCCTTGAACAGTCAAGTGGACAATTCTCAGGATCAAACTCTGGCATAAAACAATTAAACTAAACTCAATACTTCAAAACAAAGCCATTTCAAAACAAATAGCAATAAGATAGAAGAAATTACCAGCTTTGCGGAAGTGAAGATCTTGGACATCATTGACACTAATCATCACCCACGGCCTGCGAACGTCAACGATATCCCTTGCCGCTTGAATTCCCTCATTCACAGCACTAACAACCGAGGCATCAGCAGCACAGTCAATACAATCAACTGCAAGTCCTCAGTGAAGTCAACAAAATAATAAACCTTCACATTGGTCCATGCTTACAGTTTTGGTTCATTCTCATCTATCTACTTCTAAAACGTTCATTTTCATCCATATTGTGAGATCCCACATCGGTTGTAAAGGAGAACGAACCATTCTTTATAAGGGTGTAGAGACCTCTCCCTAGCAGACACATTTTAAAAACCTTGAGGGGAAAGCTTGAATAGCACAATATCTGTTAGCGGTTGGCTTGGACCGTTACAAATGGTATCAGAGCCAGACACCGGGGGTGTCCCAGCAAGAATGCTGGACCCCGAAGATGGGTGGATTGAGGGGTCCCACATCAATTGGAGAAGGGAACAAGTGCCAGCGAGGACGTTGGCCCCGAATGGTGGAATTGTGAGTTCCCAAAAGCCCAAAAAGTCCAAGCAGACAATATTTGCTAGAAGTGGGCTTGTGCCGTTACACATATAATTTAATCTTTTGAGTTTTAGTCCCTTCATTATCATTTCTTCATTTCTTTCGATCAGAATTTTAGCATGACACTCAATTCACTAAGTAGTAGCCATAAATTTATACTAAAAGGTTTCCATTGTACATGAAAGTTTGTTAGAATTTTGGAAAAGGAAATCAAAATGGTAAAAGTAAGAGAACCAAGTGCACAAAGAATATGACTAAAATGAACAAAAATTGAAGCTACAGAGGCCACAAAAGAACATTATGCAAATTCCATTGAGACATAAATTGAGTCATTCTTACCACCAGCAAGTGTGTAAACAAGAGAGAGATTCCTAATATCAACCACATCCTACACAGAGAACAAACATCTACGTCAATGGAAAGAAGCAGCAAAATGGGGACGAATTGAAGGATTTTTTTTCCTTTTAACCTCGAAACTTGCACCGCAAATAAGCTTGATCCAGTTGCCATCTCGAAGCGATTCAAGAGGAGAAGATTGAACTGAAGCAATTCCAATTCGATTTACGAGACGTCTTACATTGTCGAGGTTCTTGTTGCTGTGGTTTCCGGAAGCCACTGAGAACAATGGTGAAAAACAAGAAGAAGAATGAAGAAAATTAGATTATGTGAAATTGAAGAGAAGGAATCAAGAGATGCTTGGGGGCTGGAAATGGAACCTTGATGTTGAAGGCGAAGCGCGGCATGGCAGGACAAGCTCAAAGCCATTTTGATATTGATTCTTCCTGCCGCAACCGCTAGAGAAATAAACGCTATCCTGTTTTCGCTGACCCTTTTAACTTTTTTTAATAAAAAAAAGAAATATCTTCTACTAACCATGGTTGGGTTAAATTATGAACTTCAATCACTATAATAACTCTCAAAACTACGAGCCACGGTCCAGTTTAATAACTTAAAGGTCTCAGAGTCCAAACTTTGTGATATGAACCAAGAGACATCAATCATACAATATGCTTCAATGAATATATGAAAAAAAATATGGTTGAAATTATCAAAAGATATTTCAATTCATGCCACATTGAAAAAGAATGAAGTTTCATGCGATCAATTTTGGATGGATTACAATTTAGAGTTATTGTATTTCATTATGTGTTTTAAGAGTTTTTATTTACTTTAGGTTACAATTATATAATGGTTAATTATAGCCGGTAAATATGAATGTTACAACTCTTGGAATGCATTTAATAGTTTCATTTTGAGGCTATATAAAGTCATGTATGTTGTATTTGCAAGGAAGACTTGGAAAATACAGTAAAAGAAGCATTTGTGCTCTTCTTTAGGTAATTGCTAAGTTTATTTGCAATTCTACGTAGTTTAGGTTGCATGTAGAATCATTCAAGCTCGACATGATCAATCTTGCTTGTGGAGTAATTCGAATATCAATCAAATGTTCTTGCCTTGAGATATTTTATCAACAAGAATCATTCAAGCTAGACATGATCGATCTTGTTTGTGAAGTGATTCGAATCTCCAACAATGTTGTTGCCTTGAGATATTTGATCAACAAGGTAATCCGAATCTTATTCCCCTTGTAGTAATTCCTTATCTTATCACCTTAGGTTCGAGATGCCGAGACTTTAAGAAAGATTGTATAGGTAAGTATACAAAGTTGTGGTGAATCTAAATACTCTGTAACAGCCTAAGTCTACCTCTAGCAGATATTATCTGCTTTGACTCGTTATGTATTGTCATCAGTTTCACGTTTTTAAAATATGCCTTCGGTTTCACAAAACTTTAATTTTTTTATTTTTAAGATTAAAAAAATCTATTAGATATAAAATTAAAAGTCAACTGTCATTAAAGTTTAATAAAAAAATTATTAAATATTTTTTAAAATTTATGTACTAATAATTATGTTAAATGTACTAAGTGGCCCCAAATCATTGATGGTTTATTCAATTTGATTTTTAATATCTTTAAAAATTTAATTGACACGCACTCATATTTTTTTTCATTTTATTTTATTTTATTTATTATTATTATTATTTTGAAGAAGGCGGACAATAAATAAATTACCAGACACAAAAGCCACTCGAGGAGTGTTCGGCCCAATACTATGTTGGATCGTCGTTTCCCGCGATCTCTCCTCCGTAGATTATCTCTACATTTTACTACTTTCTCCAATAAAGTTGATCGACTCTCTGAAGAAGCTCGAGGTCATCGGTGAACGCCATGGCATTTTGGTGGACTCTGCTTGTAATAGGATTTGCTTACGCGATCTGTAGGTTACTCTTGATGCTCATCCCTCCGAATGTGCCTTCAATCGAAGTTGACGCATCTGATGGTGACAAATTCATTCCTCTCTCGTTCTCTCTGTACATTCGAATGCGTTTTATTCCTCCTTTTTTAATTTTGTGTCCGATCATTTATTTCGACTAATATTCTTGCAGTGATGGACGACGGTAATCAGACGCAGGAGAATAGCTACATCTACGTAAGTATTTCCGGAGATTCTACAATTGATCTTAGCGATACTTAGTTTTGATGCTACAATATTGCTTCATTTCCGGCGTTAGTTTTTGGAATAAGTCGGCATTCTCATACTTCGATGTAAACTGCACTATTTGGTACAGAGATATGTGAATTTGAGCAATTTCTTGAAATTAGTGTTCAGGAACTACCGTCTCAGGCTTCGATTCTTTGAACTACACTGTCGGTGTTTTCTCACTTGAATTTGAACTACACTGTTAAGTAAAAGATGAGTAAGTTCTTGGAATATCTATTCCGCAACCATTGTTTAGGCTTTGATTGTTTAAAGTAATGTTTATTTTTGTACTAAAAATCACTTCGATTTAAATTATACAGTTTAGTACCGAGCTATATGAATTTGAGTAGGTTCTTGAAATCTCCATCCTGGGACCACCGTCTCAGGGTTTGATTCTTTAGACTATATTGTTCAGTCCGCATTCTCTCGCCTTGATTTAAGTTACACTGTTTAGTACAGAGCTATATGAAATTTCAATTCCGGAAGCAATTCTATGATTGATATAGCGAGAATGGTTTTGATGATACATGGCTTCATTTTCAGCAATAATATTTTTTAAAAATAATTCTCTTACTTTGATATAATCTACATTGTTTAGTAGTGATATGAATGTGAGTAAGTAAACAATTGAAATTTCTATTTGGGAGCTATATCTTAAGCTTTGATTCCATTATGGAACTATACTCTTTGAGAGGATCTTCTTGGACCTGGTTTAAGCAAATTACTAGCTTACTAATATGACTTTGAAAATTAGAAATCCTTTCGCATTTTATTCTGAAAATTTTAACGATTGAAGCCAACATTATTTATTGGCCATTACAAACTATTCGTTCTCCCATATCAAAGCTTGCAGAAGGCAGGGATTTTTGTTTGAAATTGCTAAGCAAAACTATCTGATTTCACAATTTCGGTTGGTGATAACAGATTCCACCTAGAGTAAGGACACAGCAGCAAGACAAGCGAGTCCAATGTTACGAGCCTGCAACTATGAAATACCTGGGCTATTTTCCTGCATTGTCACGAGACGAGGTGAGCACTGATTAGTGAACTTGTTAAGAGTTGTAGCATTTGTCCTCTTATTATTTTTGTTGAATTTGGATGGATGGGAGATTTTTCATATCGTTTCATCATAGTTAACTCGATCTGTGTTTCTATCTATTATTAGGCTCCTGCATGTTGTAGTGTTTTATTTTCATGTCAATCCTCCCCCATGATCTTTTTTTTCCTCGATCTTCTGAGAATGATGGTTGTGGAAGGACCAGCAGCTCTCTGTACTTCAAATAAACACTGCCTCAATTTTCTCTCTTTCATTCACCTAGTTGTTATCTCTATATAATACAAGTATTTCTCATACTGATGGCACTAGTTATTAGAAGGATTTATTGCTAAATGAGTGGGAGAGGTAGAAACTGAAGTTAGTGATTAAACTTATTGTGTTGATTTCTACGCTTTAGGTCAATGATCGTGTTGCTTCAGCCAGGAAAGCACAGAAAGAATGGGCCAAAAGTAGCTTTAAGCAAAGGCGTTTGCTCTTACGCATACTTTTGAAGTATATAATTGAACATCAAGAGCTTATTTGCGAGTAAGATCCAGTTATTTTAATATAGTGTAGATTTATATATGTATATTCTCTAAGAGAGAAAAATAAAAATAGAGAGACTAGTAGCCAGGTGGATAGTTTCTGTCATTCTAATTATTTATCCTTTGGGATAGGATCTCCTCCCGTGACACTGGAAAGACAATAGTGGATGCTAATATGGGAGAAATAATGGCAACATGTGAAAAGATTACTTGGCTTCTTTCAGAGGGTGAGAAATGGCTGAAGCCTGAGAGCAGGTAACATTTCTTACTCGTGTTGCAGACAGTACATTACAATTTCTATATCGTTCCTTTGCAGTTTCTTTCCTTTGACTAGCATAGTGGCTCATACATTTAGTCATCTCTGTTGCTCTTGAATACTAATAACCTAGCATCTGTAAGGCATTCCCGCTGGACATGCAAGTTGTCATTGTGGAAATGATATTGTCCGAATGTCCCTAGTTATGTTGGATTTGAATTATATTTTGATCAAGAAAGAAAGCTCTTAAGTTTCTGGATGATTAAATTCATTATGCATTTGATCTCTTAATCTATTTCAATTTGCAGATCATGTGGAAGGGCAACACTTCACAAGAAAGCTCGCGTAGAATTTCATCCCCTTGGAGTTATTGGTGCAATAGTCCCATGGAACTATCCATTTCATAACATTTTCAATCCAGTGCTTGCGGCAGTTTTTGCAGGAAATGGCATTGTAGTTAAGGTATTGAAGTCTTCCCTTAAATCTTTTGGGAATATTATTTTGGCTAAAATGCAAAAAATACTCCAGAACTTTGTTTTTTTTGCTTAAAGAATATTCTTTTTCTTTCAAAGGTGTAATCTTACCCTTGACCTTTCATAAATGAGTCAAAACTACTCCTAAAATAGAAATTCATTAGAATGTTGGATGAAAATTTGGACCTAGAATGTGGCATTTTTCGGTAGCAATTTTTGTTCCATGTCAATGCCACACTATTCCAGGTCTCAATTTTCATCTAACACTTTAACGTATTTGTACCCTTATGGTAGTTTTGAAACGTTTATGCAAGATCAAGGGTAATATTGCAATTTTTGAAAGAGCAAAGTATTCTTTGTTTAAAGGGCAAAGTTTAGGTTTTTTTTTTTTTTTTTTTTTTTTTAGCCTATTTTTTG